ATATATATATATATATATATATTGTGTTTAATGAGTCATTTATAGATTGAATAGCATCAGTTTTCCCAAGGTACCATAGCTTGATCCAGGCAAATTGTAAAACTGCTAATTTCTCTGTTCCACTTTCAGGTAATGGAAGTAATAGACAAAGCCCACGTGAGGAAACAGACAAAAGAAATTCTATAGAACTAGAGGCTCCTCATAGCCCTGGGCCCCGTTTACAGGCCCCAAGTCCAACCAGGTGCCCAAATGCAGTTGTGAGCAAAGAGCAAATGTGTAAGCTGTGGTTCTCTGATTATACTGCTTGAAAAAACACTTATTTTTATCTAAAAATTAATTTTCTGAATGTGACTGCACCCAAAATTTGCTAGCACACAAACGTATTTCTGTTTAACTCTAATTGTTTTGGTGTTCATCAGTCATGGATCTGTCAATTAGTTTTTCTTTTTCTTCTTTTTTTACGTATATTTAATGTTGCAAGTCACTTTGTGCAGCAGGGAGGTTTTTTGTTCTCATAATGGTGATCTCCCTGCTGAGTATGTTTGCTTTGGGGACGATGAATACTTGTGGGTTTTAAATTGCTTCCTTTGCTGAAAGCGGGTTTGGACTGAAAGCTGAGATCTCCTGCTGTTGGCCACCATGAGCTCCTGCTGGAATTGCACATCTTGCTTTTACAGAACTGCAGGAACAGAGCTGTGCATTTCTGCAGCGCTGCTAAACTATACAGCACATCTAAACATAAATTAACCACCTGTGTTTTTTTCTGCTTTGTTACACAGCCCAGATTGTGACATGTGACATAAAGCTAAGAGACCAGTGTAAAGGCACCACATGCAATAGGTGAGATTAAAAAAAATAATAATATCATTTTTGTGATAATAATAATTAAAATTTGCACACCAGTTTCTGCAATTATTTTTCCTAATTATTATTTTTTAAATTTTGTAAAGGTACGAGTGTCCTGCTGGATGTTTAGACAACATGGCAAAAGTGATTGGAACGGTGTATTATGACATGGTAAGCCTGGCATAAAGATTTTTTTTTTCTTTAGTTTATCATGTCACATGCCGTCTAAACTTTTCACACTGAAAATGTCTTCGCCCTCAGCAATCCAGCATTTGCCGGGCAGGCATTCATTATGGTGTCATTGACAATGATGGAGGCTGGATGGATGTCACAAGACAGGGCAGAAAGGACTTCTTTATCAAATCATACAAAAATGGACTTCAGTCCCTTGGGTAAGCAATCTGTTCAAGACTTGACTTTCATGCGCATTAGAGACAACTCCATCTAACATAATGAAAATGTTACAGGAAATACCAGAGTGCCAATGCCTTCACAGTATCAAAAGTGACAGGTAAATGACAATTTAGAATATATTACATGGTTCTCTGCAATATGTGATTTTGATTGGTCAGTTGTGTCATTCAGCAGTGAAATATTTTATGTGATGGCTAAACCGTATATAAATTTGCCAATGAATTACCTACATGGCAATGCTATTTTCACGACTCCTTGCATCATTGTGCATTCTATTCTCACATATTAAAATAATTTAAACTTAAATCAGTATTTCATGTCCATCTATATATTTGGGGTTGGTAAGATTTTTTTAATAATTTTGAAAGAAATCTCTTAAGCTCACCTAGGCTACATATATTTAATCACATTTTTATTTAATAAAAAAAAACACATAGAAATATTGTGAGATATTATTACAATTTAAAATATTAAATGTTCTGTTTGAATATATTTTAAAGTGTATTTGATGCTCAACAAACATTTCTTATTATTGACGATGTTGAAAACAGGATTCTTTGATGAATAAAAAGTTTAAAAGAACCACATTTATTTGAAGTAGAATTATTTTATAACTTCATAAATATTTGTATTGTAATCTCTGATCAATTTCCCTTGCGGGAAAAAAAATAAAGGTATTGTATATATTTGCTAAGCAGCTGAGGCAGAAGCACAATAATATATGGTTAGTATTGCAAAATAAACCCTGACAACAGTGACCAGGACCCCGATTTGAAACAGAGGAGTCTTGTATCATCCTGCAGTTGTTATATACAGTACCTGTACTATTAATTTCATCATCTTTCCTTTGTTTCAGTAAAAGTTATCACATGTGAGACTACAGTTTCTGTGCTGTGCCCTTATCAAAAGCCAGCAAGACACTGTCCAAGGTAAAACTCTTTTTCTGTAATGAACCAAACCTTCAGGTGAAATGTTCTTTTATCTCACCTGTTTTGAAACAAAACTGGCCAATAGCATTTGAAACTACTATTATTACATTGTCAAAAAAAATAAATCTTTCTGACCTGTGTTTTCTTCCCACAAGGATTTACTGTCCTCGGAACTGCCTGCAAGAAAATCCCCACCTTTCTCGAGTCATTGGTACCCAAATTTACTCAGATGTAAGCTTTTTTTTTATGTTTCAAAATCAAACTCAAAGCAAGAAGATTGCTGCCCCAGCAAAGACTTAATTTTACATTTAAATTTGTTTTTCAGAAATCTAGCATATGCAGATCTGCAATTCATGCTGGCATTTTAAGCAACGAATCAGGTGGTTACGTTGACGTGATGCCCACAGACAACAGGAAGCTGTACATTTCCTCGTACCAGAATGGCATAGTCTCAGAAAGGTAGGTTTTATCCCTAAACTTGCCCGCGTGGACCCGGTGTAAGGCAGAGTATGGGGCAGCCTGTCTCTCCTTAAGCTTTTAAAATCACAGGCTTTTATTAATAAAGCTCATTAGGGTAGAGCTGTACCAGTGGTTCCACTCCAAGCATGGTAGAGTAAACTTTGTAAGTTACTTCAAAGGTATGTTTACTAATGGTAGACACAGTTACAGATGAATGAACATTTTCTACAATTATGCAAATTGACAATGGCTTTTAATGACAAAATTAACATGGCTATCACAAAGGATTCGTCACAATATCACAAACAGCTTCTTACACTAAATAAGCTTTTCACCATAATTTTCACATTATGAACACAATTATGTTTAAGGGTTGGGAAACATTGCTTATTTAACTTCTGTGTTCTCTCGCAGCCTGCAGAACCCAGCGGGAGGCAAGGCATTCAGAGTATTCGCAGTTATTTAAGCATGTGCTGAAATCACAGTCACTCACCAACTCGTTGTGTTGATTAGGCTGTAATAGTGGCCGTTGTGAGGCCTTTTCTGCTCTAACCAGCCTATACTGTATTTTCTTTCACACAAATGTTGAACTAGGTATTTGCTGTATAGATGGAAACCCTTTCCAATGCATCAAGCTGGTTAGCCATTGTATTGCCTAAAATAATTAGAGGATCATTCAGGGAATATGGTGTCAGTATTGCAAAGAAAAAGCACTTAAGGAGCTTTAATCTTCCGTTATTGTCGTAAAGAACATTTTAGAAACTGTTACAGCTTTTCTATGATATATTTTTGTTTCATTACATGTTGAGGAAGTTCTCTCACTCATCTATAGATTAATTTTCATTTTTTTCACTATGTATTTATTTTTATGTATTTTTTGCTTTAGGGCAAGAAAGGACTGCTGATAAGGTTTTGATAAAGTTTTTTTTGCAGATTATGTTGATGATAATTAAGAATGTGGGTATAATCCTGCAGGGCAGGAGATTACATCTAAAAACATCCAACCAAACCTTGTATGAAACGTCCACATCGTTAAACACTGTAAATAGCTTGTTGTGAATAGCTTCTTTATAGTATTAAAGAGCAGGTCATATGGGTTTTTGAAAAATGTCTCTTTTGCAGTTTATAGCGTAGCTATCCTTAAATGAAAACAATCTGCAAAGTTGTTAATCAAAAAAGTGCATGATAAATAAAGATATTTTCTCTCAAAAGAGAGAGTCGATTCTGAATCGCCTTAATGAGTGGTCATATTTTCAAATCTTTTGCCTGTTACATCCCTGGGTAACACATTTGCATAATCCCCACCTGCCCGCGAAATACGACCAGAGTCTGACCTGCCCACAAACACTTCCGCTAGTTCTTGTGTCATGTTGAGAAGATGCTGTGTTCAAGGATACCACAGAAATACAATTCGAACCTTTTGTTGTGTGCATGTCATTTTACCAAGGACTGCTTCTCTAATCTTTGCTTTTATCTTCGTTGGCGTCTAATCTTCTTTATTTGGACTAACAAGCTCTCCGAAGCACAACCTGTAAGTACGATTGATACGTTATGTGTTCATTTTCAACTGAGTGCTCAAAATATCAGGTTTTTGTGCTAATATGTGATGTATACCTAGTGCAGCTTTAGGTTTCCAGGCAAAGCACGATATTACTGTCTTACTGAAGTAGTTCTGATAATTCGCTGTGAACCCACTATTTCCTAAGTATGTGTCGATTAATGTAGACTGACGTTGTTCTAATCACTTCGTTTAATAATAAAGAATGAAGTGTAGCGCACAGACTTTATAATCATTGTGAAATTGCTGTTCATTTTGCTGCACCGGCAGTTATAGGGTTAATGCGGGAGAGACGAGCGAGTAAGTTAGGTTATCTTCGTTGGCGTCTAATCTTCTTTATTTGGACTAACAAGCTCTCCGAAGCACAACCTGTAAGTACGATTGATACGTTATGTGTTCATTTTCAACTGAGTGCTCAAAATATCAGGTTTTTGTGCTAATATGTGATGTATACCTAGTGCAGCTTTAGGTTTCCAGGCAAAGCACGATATTACTGTCTTACTGAAGTAGTTCTGATAATTCGCTGTGAACCCACTATTTCCTAAGTATGTGTCGATTAATGTAGACTGACGTTGTTCTAATCACTTCGTTTAATAATAAAGAATGAAGTGTAGCGCACAGACTTTATAATCATTGTGAAATTGCTGTTTATTTTGCTGCACCAGCAGTTATAGGGTTAATGCGGGAGTTAGTTAGGCTGGTGCGCCTGTGATAGCTGTTCTGCGTTCTGATTAAAAGTTAAGACAGAGCGTCCTTTTGTCTGTCGTTCTTCAAACATTACAGTAGACATATTTTGGTTTACAAACTGTATTGTTTCATCAGTTTACCACGTTAGCACTCAGCTAACGTATCCACCATTATTGTTTTCACAGTATAAGTGTTCACAGTTTAGCAGCTAAACTATAGCTGTGGGTTCGATTCGCTTGCATAAGTGTTTTTGTGTTTTATGTCATCATTATAAGAACTGATTGGAGCACTATATTATTGTTTTATGCAAAGGTGCTTTGTCAATGGGAGCACTCGCTAACTTGCTCAAGGACTCCTCTCTGTGCCAATCACAACAGGCTTGGCCAGCTGACCAATCGGAGCAGAGTAGGCTTATGGAAGGGAGGGGTTTGCTCCGAACTTGCTTGGAACGAATCGTTTAGAAATCATTGGGAAATGACTCTAATATTAAATGTATATTCTGAGAAAATTACAATGTTTTCTGACCTTAGATGCATTTAAACCTGTTTTAGGGGACTCCAACACAATATTAGGACACTTTAAAATACCATCTGACCTGCTCTTTAATTGTAATGAGATGCTACATTCGTGGGTATTGTGTACTGTCTCATGAAAACAGCTGTATTATCAGTTAATGATTTCGTAGGTTCCCCAAAACTAGCTACATATATACCGAATATAAACCAGCAAGGAAGCAAAACAGTCAATCAACTATAATTGCCTAAAATAAATCTATCCTTTATACATTTGTGGTGCTTTTTGTATTTCTTTAAAGGGATAATTCACCCAAAAATTTACTCAGTTCCTCTTCAGGAACTCGAGCTGCGTCGGAAACGCTAGGGTAACGGCCTTCACCGTGACGGGCTCTGAACCTCGTGTGTAATCAGACCAATAGATGGGCGAGACGTCACGGCGGGTGACGTAATGACCAGGAAGCTATAAAAGCACGTGCGGTGAGACCAGCGTCAGCTTTTTTCATTCAGCAAGCGCTCTGTGTGTGTGTCAGTCTGATATCTGTTTGTGAGTCTTATTTAGTGTTGTCTGTCACGAAATCTAAAGCAAAAGACAAAACCAGACACTAAGGCGAGGGCAGGCAGGTTGTGTGGTCCCAGGGCAAACTTTTCTCGCTGAGAGCAGTTTACATTCCTGGGCATCTCAATTTGGGAGCAGACATCCTTTCGAGGCAGGGGCCGAAGCCCGGGGAATGGGTGCTTCACCCCAGGGTGGTGAAGAAGATATGGAGGTCTCGGTGCCATACTTCCGGCGTCCCTGCCAGCGCTTGCTTCATTCCTAGAAGCTGACGCTGGTCTCACCGCACGTGCTTTTATAGCTTCCTGGTCATTACGTCACCCGCCGTGACGTCTCGCCCATCTATTGGTCTGATTACACACGAGGTTCAGAGCCCGTCACGCTGAAGGCCGTTCCCCTAGCGTTTCCGACGCAGCGTCTCGTTCCCTCGAGGAACTAGGGTTACATACGTAACCTGAGACGGTTTTCCATACCAGTTTGAATTTCTTCTGAACGCAGAAGATATTTTGAATAATGTGGGTAAGCAAACAATTGACAGTAGCCATTGACTTCTATAATATAGAGAAAAAATACTATGGAAGTCAATGACTACCGTCAATTATTTGGTCACCCACATTCTTCAAAGTAACTTTAGGGTGAGTAAATGATGTCAGAATTTTCAGACAGAATTTTTGGGTGAACTATCCCTTTAATGTGGTTCTCAACTGGTTTGGTTGCAACCAAAAATGAGTCGTAGGTCTGTTCTGATATGGAGAAAATGAACCATATAATTCTGCATATTTAGGATAGCTAAATAAATAAGCTAATCATCTTTTGAAACAGAGAAGGAATGTTTATATTTTGTTGTTGTGCATCCCCAGCTAACACAGAACATTCTCAGAACTTTGGTTGTTCTGACAAGGTTCTGGCAAGGTTCTCTCAAAGTTAACATTATTAGAAATACATTTGTTCTTAATATAATGTTCGATCAGAGTTTAATAATGTTCTCAAAACATTAGCACAAAAGCATTATCTATGCAATGTTCATGGAATGTTTTATTTCTGAAACTTTTTTTAAATGTTACTACTTGTATAAGAATGTTCAGAGAACAGCAGCTGTATTTAGTCATACAAGTACAGCTTTTTTCTGCTTAAATGGCAGAACTTCAAAACTCTTTGAATCAGACATGTCAAAAAAAGTTACAATTGGCAATTTACACTGTCTTCCCCTTAAAATGTCTGTTATAATGGCCTAATGTATGCATATGATTGTATATATTTGTGTTTTCTACCTCACATTGTTTAAAAACATTTTACAATAAACTTCAGTAATCAGTCACAATATATCTCACATGTTTTAATTGAAAATATAGTTATATATTCAGCCCACAATGTGATTTGGATTATTTTTTGGAAAACCTGGACTGGCACAATGCATGTACTAGAGAAACTATTGAGGCCATCTGTCTGTAATGAAAACCAGATGGAATAATTTTCAGTGTTTACTGCTCTCTCACCCTCAACGTAACTGCTAAAACAATTCCCTTATGGATTATAGAATAATTTTATTGAGCAACACACTTCCACATTACTTTCATTCATTCAGGTTGATAGATGCTGTTTAGATCCAATTTAGTAGAAGAACTGATGGGTAAATATGATAACAACTAAACCAGGAGCTGCTAGTGAATATTAAACACCTGCAGTTTCAGACACCTCAAGTCATCTGTTAAAACTTGTATATTAGTTAGAAGTCCACTTTGTCAATGCAGCCTGTATATTTCAGACCTGCCACAATTGCAGTCTGCTGTGCCATAGAAAGCCAATATTTATGGCTAATGTCCAAACCATTACTCTCCATCCAGGTTGTGTTCCACCTGGACGCCTGTGGTCCAGAAACACAACTTGAGTGTGATTACCAGCCAGCCAGCCACACTGACATCATAACAAAATAGAGTAATGCAGAGTGACTGCCACACTAACATATGTTTATATTATAAAGTGCCACTAACATATAATGACACAATTTCAACACCTTGATAAATAACTTTGCCTGTTTATCGGAGTTTGGTGCCTCTGGATGGAAATTACTCAAAAAAGCAATAATGTAGAACATAGAAATATTAGTGTTACCACTGCTTTCTTTCAGCATAATCGACAATGTAAAAAACAGA